TATGCCGACTAATAACCAATGCCAAATCCGGCGAAACAACTGGCCACTGTGATACAATTGTATAATAATACAATAATAAAATCATATCGAGTAACTTAGAAATAACTTCATTGTCACTTTGAATGTAAATTAATCGGCATACATTTAAATGAAATTTCATAACAACCTGACTTAACAATTAGGGGATCATCCCCTTTTCTAAAGCTCTGCTGAAACAAAAGAATTCCACTAACTTTCAAGGAGGTTAGACTGTAAAAATAAATGAACATGAAATATGAATATAGAAGGGATGAGGTCACCTGCACATTTAACACTTTTTGCAGAAGAGAAAATTAGAGGAGGTATATTTAATTAACCACAAACAAAAAAGCTACCACAGCTGGAATTCCCTTTTCTGCAAATTCATTCAGGATGTAGGCAGTTCTGCCTTCTTTTACATCGGCTACCCCAGCTAAAATCAGGGACATTTCTATGGTCACAACATTGCAAGAGCATAAAAGGTTGATTCTTAGTGATCACTATCTCATCTCTGATAAGGATAGAAATCAATGTTTTAAAAGGTTACTGAAAACAATAAAGCCAGAAAGAACTACCAAAGTTGCCTAAGTTGATGGTTCAAAAGCTAAAAATAGCAATATCTAGACAAAAGTGAAAATGTTACAACATTAAAGTATTTTTAGCCATGGGAGCAATGTAAAAGAAAAAAGATTGCAACTCAGATATATCAGAGATGTCATATGTATTTGTAGAAAAAGAAGACTGTATTGGCATTTTGTACACACAAAAACTAACTTAATATCTCCATGCTCATCAGCTGTGCTTTTTTGTTTTATCTAGATCAGTGATGGATAACCTTGCGGTTAACCTTGTTGTGTACCGAAAGCACGCACACGCACACCCATAATGCAATGTGCGCATGACCCCCCTATGCTCTCCCTGAGCATATGTGTGACCCACCCTCCCGCGCATGCATGCATGGACCCACATGGGTCCATGACCCCTGTACATACACGAACATCTCCCGCATGCACCCCTCCCCCCATGCATATGCATGCATGGCAGAGACCCGAAAATCAGCTTGCCAGTAGGAGGCATCTACGCATGTGCAGTGGAGCTGAGCTGGGGTGATGGCTCATGTGCCTGCAGTGAGAGCTCTGCGTGCCACTTGTGGTACACATGCTATAGGTTCGCCATCACGGATCTAGATCAAGGGTGTCCAAACTTTTGGCTTGCCTGGGCCTCACTGAGTGAAAAGGAATTGTCTTGGGCTGCATATCATAATACAGTTAATTTACCTAAATTACATAATAATGTTAACAGTTTGTTATCTTGTAGGGCTGTATTACTTGTGGCCTGCAGGCTGGACATGCCTGATCTAGACTGTACTTAGGCCTTTAACTTAGCTCAGTCTGAAGAAGCCACAAAACTGTATTTCACTAGTTGCTGCTGTATTAAATAGAAAATATATTTCAAATTGTGTCTTTTAATTTCTTATATAATTACCCATCCATCCATCCATCCATCCATCCATCCATCCATCCATCCATCCATCCATCCATCTGGAAAAAACT